GGCGGCTCGCTGCGGCGGCACCGCCACGAGCACCGTACTTCCAACGCGCACGATGGTGACGGCGGCGGCGGCGGCGGCGGTGCGGCGCCATTGTCCGAGCTCAGCTCTCCCTCCGTCGCCACGGCAGCGACGCCGCCGCCGCCACCCCCGATTTCCACGCTCCTATGGCCGACGGCAGCCGGCAGGGCGTCGTCGACGTCGGCGGCGGCGGCAGCCGCCGCCGCCGCGAACGCCGCCGCGGCAGCGGCGGCCGCCGCTGCCGCCGGGTCCGCGGTGCCGCGGCACCTACCGTACAAAGAGCCGCTGCTGGACCTGACGTCATCGGAGGTTTCGGAGCAGACCCAGGTAGCGCTGAACTACATCTTTGCATTCGCGGCTGTGTGGGGTGTCGGCGGCGCTCTGGACCCGTCCTGCTGGGAGGAGTTCGACTCTGTGGCGAAGGAGCTGTTTGAGGGCTACGCCAACTTCCCAGGCGGCTCCGGAACCGTGTTTGATTACCACCTTGACTATCGCAAGTGCGTGAGGCCGTTGCCGTTAGTTAGTTAGAGGCCATGACGGCTGCCATGGCTGGTAGTTGCGATGATGTTGTTAGTTGTAGTACAAACAACTTTGCCAAAAAGAATAGAGCCTCATGTGCGCTTTTAAAAGCTATGACCTTGTAGCAGGTATCTATCTCTAACCCATTGCATCTCCCTCCTCTACACTTTCCTACCCCATTACCCGAATGCTGTTGCGGTTGGGCGGTTGGGTTTTTCCTCTTTTTTTCCACCAGTATAGGGAGACGATCACCCTCCGCTCCTCTTCCCACCCACTCACCCAACCAACCACACGCCCGCCCGTTTTTGAATTTCTTTTAACCTTACGGCAATTGAGGCGGCCATTTGAAATTATTGTTTTTAACCTTACGACGCGGCGCCCTGCAGGAAATTTGCTTTGACGCCCTGGGAGGCTGCCGTACCGTCGTACCAGTACCGCCAGGAAGTGCCGTACTTCGACATTCTTGTGCCCACCGTGGAAACGACACGTTATGGCGCCCTGCTCAACTGTCTGTTGGCGGTTAACCGTTCCGTACTGCTGACGGGGCCGGGGGGTGCGGGGAAGTCGGCCCTCGTGCGCAGCATCCTCACTCAGCAGCAGGTGGGG